TTTCGCCTAACACACATAAAAAAATAGTCGAATTGAGAATATCTGCCTTTTTTTTTCAAGTCGGTTAAAAAAGAAATGTACGATTCATAGTCGAGATAAGTATCCTTTCTAACATTTTCTTTATTTAATTGTAAATTAATGTGTATCTAATTGTAAATACGAGTATCGATATGATGATCGCTATAAGGTTTTTTACCACGGTATGAATTATTTTTATTCTCAACCCGTGACCATGAAGCGTGTAACAATTCTAAACTATCGGGAAAATACAAAGAATCATGCCGTTGTAAGAAACATGAACTACGTAGCAGTACTGCCGCTTTATCTATTTTTGCCGCCAAGCAGTAATGTCAGCATTACTATATTCCGGTTTGAAGGGTAAACGTGCTGATGAAATTACACGCACATGAGCCTTGTCATCTTATGTCTCGGGGTGAGGGGCGCAGTGGCAGTGCCTATCAGATCTTTGCGATGTAACATCCTAAGGCCCTGTGTACATTCAAAATGTAGATAATATGTGACGTGATTGAGACTCAAACAATGTTATTCCAACGATCACGTAAACGCGCAATGAAAATATAACATTCAAATTTAGTGCTATATTTTCTATATATCGGCTCTGTGACGTGGTCACTTACTATGGGCCTCATAAAAAAGGTCAAAGTCACTCAACGAGCTATGGAGCGAGCAAAGCTCCGTATTTCTCTACGTGAACGAATCAGAAATGTGGAGACCCGTAGAAGAACGAAAGTCACCGACATGGCCCAAAGGATTATCAAGTTGAAGTGGTAATGGGCAGGGCACATAGCTCGTAGAACTGACGGCCGTTGAGGAAGAAAGGTTTTCGAATGGAGACTACGAAGCGGAAGGCGTTTAGTGGGACGGCCCCCTACTAGATGGACAGACGACCTGGTAAGGGCGGCGGGTAATCGATGGATGCACGTTGCGTCCGACCGCTAGTCTGTCAATCTTTGGGGGAGGTCTATGTTCAGCAGTGGACGTCTTCCGGCTGCTATGATGATAATGATATTTTCTATATAAAGGATATATAGAAAATACGTTTTTCACACAAAACTGAAGGCATACTTGTTTGGACTTGAAGCATGTAATTATATTTAGTGCATTTTAATGCATATTGGGCGTTCAGCGCTTTTCCTATTGTATATAGTCCGCCGGGTCTCAGGAGGTTAAAGCTCTGAATGCAATTTGCAATTGTTATAGACAGGCGTGTAGCTTACCATCAGGCGCACGACTTGTTGGTCCTGTCACTTGATTTATAAAAAAATGCCTACCGTTTAACGGAGTCGATTCCTCAGACAGCTGCGCTGTGCGGGAGCAGTGATTTTCAATAGTAAATTGGTTGAAAAAAGTGCCTACGAAATTAGTCAATAGATGTTATGTGAAATGATAATAAAAAAACTATTACATTGATAATTGAAATGAAGCCAAGCCATGATAAGCCATTTGACATTTCTGTTCAATCAACTCGCTATTGAAAATCGTCAGAAAAATGTTGTAGCAATTATCCCGACATAACTAGAGATGGGAAAGACTGCTTATTTTTTAAACGTTAAAACGTCGTGCTTTTTTGAACACTTTTTATTTTCAAGCTTACAAAATGGTTTAGAAAAACGTTTAAGTGACAAAATATTTTTTTGAGATATCGTAAAAAAACCATAACCCAGTTTTAGAATATTGACATTGTTTAATGATATTTCAGCTATGCATCATTAGGGTAGGTTCCGATAAGTCGAATACGTTAACTAATTTTAACTATTTTTAAAAGAGAATTATGTGCTCTATCTTAAGCTATCTAAAACGGATATTTGACCATTTGTCACTTAGCCGCGTTTTGGTTAATGGACGGCAGATATCTTTTTATGTTAAAAAAGCTTGCTAGCTTTTCGCTATCAACACAACGTTGCAAGCTTTGGTCTACTCTTCTAGACCAGTAAAGGTTTTAAGTTTTTTTTATAATATCAAGTGACAGGACGGCCAAGTCGTGCGCCTTATGGTAAGCTACACGCCTGTCCATAACAGTTTCATTGCCACTCAGAACTTGAAAAAGCAAAAATTTGAACGGCACTGCCAACTGCTCCCGTCACTCTAAGGGCGCGTTCCACTATGTCGTCACGTTTTATCTAGCCTGTTCCCATATCACGACTATCTGTCGTGGACGATTTTTTATCGTTGAACGACTGTCGTGACTCGCTGTTCCCACTAGATCGTGACGACAATAGGAGCTGCGACAATCTGTCGTCACGTTTTTATCGTCTGACGATTGTCGTTCTAGCTATTCCCACTGTGATGACAGTTTGTCGTTGTAACGATGAAAAATCGTGAAAGACAGGTAATCGTGTCGTGCTATATGTGAACAACTTCATTTAAATATACAAGCCACGACACTGTAAACTGCACGACAATCTATTGTCACGACATAGTGGGAACGCGCCCTGAGACATAAATTGATAAGTCTCATGTGCCTGTAATTTATAAAAGTTATGTAAGTTTATTTGTAAAATACTAGTTTTCAAAAAAATATTATTCACATTGACGAATTAATTTGTTGAGGAAACATAGACGTCGGGACTTAAATAAATAAATAAATAAATAAATAACGCACACACTCAACATAGCCCCGCACTAGGGAAACCCTGTGTCGCGGGTGCCATGGACACACACATAGACAACCACAAATTACACCCAAACTCACGAGAGAAATAAATGTAGGCCATACAAATATTTCTCCCGGCCCGGGAATCGAACCCGGGGACCTCTGCGTGGCAGTCCGGTATGGTAACCGTTCGGCCACGGAGGCAGTTAAAAAACTTATAAGCACGTTGTAAAAAATCAAATTGTTGAGTATTGAACTGGCCAATGCTTACGCTTAAATTGAAAAGCGTGCTTATGTGCTTATTTTAAAAAGCAAACTGTTTTATATGCTTTTGCTGTTATGTATGCTTGTGTGTGCTGTTACGTAAACTGTCACTCCTCCTGCAGCTACCTTAGAAACCTACTCAGTTAAGCGGTAGGGTTACCTATCAGATGTCCGAAATAACATTTTCCAGAAATAGCGTTTGCTCGAATTTTCATAACCTCGAAAGTAATTGTGAGAGGAAAATGTTTTTTCTTTTAAACCTAACTTAATCTAACCTAAACGAACCTAATCGTGTCTTTGAGATAAACATCCAACATATCCTGGAAGAACAACGGCTTCGTTATAATTCGGTTTTCGAGGTAGTGAAAATTCGAAGTAACGTTATTTCGGAAAAAAATACATTCGAGTTTCGAGTGATAGGTTTCCAGGCGGTAGGCCTGTATAGTCGATTTGTTTAAACATAGTTTCATTTCCTATGTGGAATTACTCATGGTTATTCACTAAAAGATTATTACTATAGTCCATCTGTTTAGGTATACTTAACTAAATGTAAACAATCTCGATACATCATTTTATTGAAACATATTCTTTATAAATGAATAGGTATAAAAATAGGCATAGAATTTCATATGAAGCTAAGTATTTGTATTTTGTATTTGAAGGTAAGTAAAAATCCTATTATAAATTTGTATTTCATTAAATCTCAAGATTGTTTACATTTGGTTAAGTAAGTACCTAAATAGACGGACTATAGTAATAATCTTTTAGTGAATAACCATGAATAATTCCACATTGGAAATGAAACTATATTTTTTCCGGATCTAAATTTGTTTTTCTTAGAAACCAACGCTTCGGCCTCTTAACAGGTCTCATGGTCACGACTGATTGCCATCCACGAGTTCCCTTATCAAATGTCCAAATCTAAGATAAATCCAACAACATATTGAACGGAGAGATGTACTTCTTATTATCAGCTTTTATGTAACAAATTTTTTTTATAAGCACACACTCATAGCCCCACCTAGGGAAACCCTGTGTCGCGGGTGCCATGGAGACATACATAGATGTCCACAAATTACACCCAAACTCACGAGAGAAATAAATGTAGGTCATATAAATATTTCTCTCGGCTGGGAATCAAAACCGGGTCCTCTGCGTGGCAGACCAGCATGGTAACCGTTCGGCCGCGCGGCCACTATTTTTATTTATTTTAACCGCCTCTTGTAAATTTTGAAATATCTTTTTAAAGAACGTAATGTTATGATATTAAATTTCGAAAGACAAAAATGGTTACTGTTCGTCAAATGTTTTCTTGGATTATTTGTAGATTATTTCAAGACCTACAATTCTGTGATACATTAATTGAACGTATTTCGTTTGGTTTAACCAGCGTAAGATAATACACAAAAAAATAACCCCCCCTCACTATTTTGATTAATTTTTATATACCATTATTATGTAACCCTTCTTCTGACCCAGTCGGGTAAAAAAAAGAAGTCTGTTAAAATACGTATCTTCTCAAAACTTTTGACTCAAAATTATCTGGATGACTTTTAAAAGATGTTGTCTATCTGATTAGCGCTACAAAACACAGATGTTATAAACTGCTAAATGTCGGTATTATCGTATACTGCCTATTACTGCTGTATATGCATTGACTTACAATTATATGGACGTCGGGTCCGCGCTAAAAAGTGTCCGAACTTATAGGGCGTTAAAATCGTATACAGAGCGTCACTCACGCTTTAGTCTTCGTTTGTTCGACTGACAGCGAAGCAAGTAAAATTAGACAGTACTGCGATGACATTACAATTTAAATTTAACGTTTTAGCATTTTCATATTCCTTTACATGTCAGCTACGTCTAAATAGGTTGACTTGGGACATTTTTTTCGTGGTTTTTGTATTAGGCCCGTCGTCTATTTATTTGTAAGTCAATGTGTATATGCAATAAAAAATATTATTTTATTTGTATTTTGAAATGTCATGTTTGAAATTAATTAAATTTCGAAATAATATTGCGAAAAAATAAGATAAATGATGATTTTTATGAATAACGTTTTCCCGAATATTTTTCGTCGACTTCAAACGTAACACTAAATTAGAAACAAAACTGCACTTACCCTCTTCCCGAACAATAGTCCTAACACCATGCACGAACCCTTGAAACCGTGGTTTTTCCAATCTCATATCGTTAATAAACTTGACTTTCACTGTTTCCATTGGTGTGACGGCGAGTATGGCTTCGGCCACACCCGCTGCCAAACCGCACGCGAGTTTGCCAGTCGTGGAGAGGGTACCATCGTCTTTTACCATGTAGAGTTTTGCTTGCTCGAATACTCCGAATCTGTGGGCAGAAATTCCAAAAATCACATCAATTTTTTTACGATGGAACTTCATCAGCAGGACCTAAGGAAATTTCTAGAAAGTTCAATGAAATGAATTTATTTCAGATCAGAATAGATTCATAAAGTGTTCTATATTAGTACGCATACTTTTTTTTAAAATAGCAAGTCTATATATAAGTAAGCGATGCGCCTGTCCATAGCAGTTGCAGAGCTTTTAATCTAAAAGATCTGAGGGCCGCTGCCACTGCGCCCGTCACCCTGAGACTAACGTTAATAAGTGCCAGAAATTTCAACAGCACCATTGTACTGCCCGTTTTTTTGCAGTTTAAATCCGAACTGAATAAATAGTGGCGCATACATTAGATATAGAACCAAACACACGGTGTTTGTCCTGCAAAAAAACATGCAGTGCAATGCCGTGTGAACGGAGGGGTACACTTCAAAACCCGGACACAGTAATGCTCACATTAATACTTGGCAGCAGAAACAGGTAAGAAGTACTTGCCTGGATGAACTTTTCAAAAAGAGCTCTAGTGTTATTAAAATGAAAAGAGGTCTAGTGCCTCATCTGTCTGCCACAACTGTCAGGAGTCTGTATCAGCTGCCGCACACCTTAAGCACCGACGCGACGCCGCCCTCAATGTTGAAAATACGTAAAGAAGAACCAACAGTTGCATTCCAAAATTAAACAAATTGTTCGATTCGTCAAAGAAGTCTGACCGCCTCACGTGATACCTATTAGCGTACATCCGCTGACGTAACCATGGAACCTGTGAAGAGCCCGAAGCGATGCAAACGCAAAACTTAAGAACTCAAACTCTTGATGCATTAATACACCTAATTTACTTAAATTTCAAGATTATTTGAAGACGAATTGGACATAGTTAAACAAAAAGGATCCAATGCACATCCAATCACTTTCGAGATATGGCAGTTTAAAGTTTAAAAGTGTTTCTCACTCGTTTTATTTTCAAAACGTATAAGTCGTGTAACTCCAGAGATATTTATGTTTAAACGTTGGATTTTTCTTGCTGATATCAGAGGTTAGACTTTAGGAACCGTTTGGTACATATGTATAACAAGTTTTTTGATAATTTTTCTGGATTGCATACGTCCAAGTTTGAAAGACAAAAGAAATCGAAATAAATGACAGTCGCATTTAATAAAATCTACAACAGATACTCGCGATCGTCCATCATATATGTGCAAAGAACATTAACGTGGAAACACGTTGGTGTGTACAAATCGAGATAAGAGAGTTCACCAAGTCATTTATTACATTGAAGTAAATTGAAGGTTGCAATGCTGTTTGCTGACACTTCACTCAATGACATTTGAGGACAAATATTGCAGTTGCTCTCCCTGCATGGGTTTCTTATCGTTTCCCAATATATACGATAATTTATATTAAAAGGCTACTAGATTCTGCTCTTATCTCAGATTCTGTAACTAGGTGTCATCGCTTTTAAAAAACTTTTTTTTGGGAAAATCTACATGGATGCGGATTGCGATGCTTATTCGAAACACATTTGAGCGATGCTCGTTTGCACCTACACGCTTCATCGAATGGTCAGTGCTAACTATAGGTGTTGGCGACAGATGTTTTTTATATACTTTTGACGTATGTTTTTGATATATATATTATTAATATCAAGTGACGAGACAAACAAGTCGTGAGCCTACTGTGAGCTACACGCCTATCCATAACAGTTGCAGTGCTATTCAGAGCTTTAAATCGCAAAGATCCGAAGGGCACTGCCACTGCGCCCGTCATCCTGAGACATAAGTTGACAAGTCCCATGTGCCTGTAATTTCACCAGGGGCGTGGTGTCCTTACTCATTCAAAAACCGGAACGCAGAAATGCTAACGTTACTGCTTGGCGGCAGAAATAGGTAAGGTGGCAGTACTTCCCTGGACAAACTCTTCACAAGGAGTTCTATTGCTTTTTCAGTGCTTTGTTCATTTGACACCATTACTGACCGACTTCCAGAAGCCTAAACTCAAGATCTGCCAGATATGAAACGCAGCATTCTGGGCTTTTAACGTATTGATCGAGTACGCAATGGAATGCTGGGTTTCTATGACTGGCATTGCTGATTTGGGGGGCAAAACAGCCAGGCTCAAATGGACTGGGCGGGCTACGTTAGTCGGATGCAACCCGAGAAGTGAGCGAACGTCGTCACTCCTTGGGTGCCCGAGGATCGAAAAAGAAGGCGGGGACGGCCGAGATGGCGTTGGCGATCTTGATGGGTTTGAGACGGAGTGGTGGGAAATACCAGTACTTCTGTCAACAGAACGGTACAACAGAAGTAATGGGAATAATCGGACAGAACCGACTGGGAATCGTGAATCCCATTTGTTCTGTTAACAGAACTAGTGGGGATAATCGTAATTTTTGCAGCTACTTAAATTTATTTTATTGTCCCTTTATACGTCAACTAAAGGAAGACAATTGTTATAACAGTGTATAAAGTATACTACACGCATTATGTAGTATAATTTTGGATGCCTACTTATTTTTAACAGAAACCGTAAAATGAGGATAATAAACGAGTATTGTGCACATACGTTCTTGCGATAGACGATTCTATTTCAGAATTTTATGTTATACAAATGTAGTCCATATTGCAATATGCGCGTAGAATGCAATAATTATGTGAACGTTTGTAAACAGTGTAGTAATTAGTCTAAATATCCGGTTATATTGTATTGCGGTGAGACTTGTACTTAAGTTTTAGTGCTAGATGCTAAATCATCCTTGTTAGCTCAATTATTACTACGCTATCTCTTATAACTTTCAATGCCATTGACTGAAGGTATTTTTTTTATAATATCAAGTGACAGGACGGACAAATCGTGCGCCTTATGGTAAGCTACACGCCTGTCCGTAACAGTTGCATTGTTACTCAGGACTTAAATCGCAAAAAAATTTGAGGGGCACTGCCACTGCGCCCGTCACTCTGAGACCTAAGTTGACAAGTCTCATGTGCCTGTAATTTCACCAAATCTTGAATGTGATTCTAGATATAATGTGCCAGGCAATCACACCAACTGCCTGGTCTCAAACTAGAGATTTCCCTGTACTATGAGTACCAAGCAACGGATTTTGTCTGAGGCACTTCCCAGAACACTCAAAACAGAAGCTGTTTAGAAAGGTTCATTCTTCTTCTTAGCGTGTCGCGGGGTGCATGGAAGGAGCCTCTCCGCGTGGCGCACCCTGGGCAACGGTCTGCGGACGGCAAGTCGGTAACGTAGACTGGCCGATCCTCCCACAACGACTCAAAGCTTCCCCAACGGCCCTTCTCAAGGCCACCAAAAAAGTCTTTGTCAAAGGCTCAGACTTCATGAGGGCAGAAAAAATGTCAGAACCAGCGTTAAACAGTGTTTATTAATATAGAAGGGTTTTCGGATGACAAAACGGAATCGGAAATTCAAAAAATCAAGTCGATGTCATATGCGTTCAAGAAACGCATCGTAGCTTTAAACAAATGAGATTCTATATTCCTGGTTTACCCTAGTAGTCGAAATTCCCCATCCAAAATACGACAGCGCTGTGTTTGTTGGCTTGGGGTCAAAGCGACAAAGCAAAAGAAAGGTACATTTCTCAAAGTGATTCGACCGCGAATCGAACCCGGTGCCTCTTCATCCAGTGCCCACAGTGCAAGCCGTTGGGCCACCGAGGTCGTCACATAAGACCGCTTCACATTTTCTCTCTCTTCAGAGATTATAAGACATGGGCAGCATCGTCTTCTTGTGCGTACTAAATTGGGATACGTATCGATCTAATTACTATTAGAGAATTTGGTCCTGGTGGTAGATTTCTCTGTGTATAAACCGGTCTGGTTAAGTAGCTCCGCCCTGCCAATTGTTACCGCAAAGCAGCAGTGTCCAATCCTGTTCTTCGGATTTTGGGTTAGAGAGAGTTATGTGGGACTGACCCTCCATTGGAGTGCATACCAACTAAAAACCCCCCGGCGCGCCTCTTGGCCGCGTGTTGGGCGCCGTGGGATCCACCACTACCACGCCCCCGGCTACCTTCGCTTCTGCCAAAGTTCCCGCGCTAAGTAGGCTAGGGTCGGACGCTTGACCCATCCCCCCAGACGGGTGAGACCGCGCAATGCGGGCAAGGGAAGGTACAGAAGACCCCAATAGTTTACGTGTTACTAAAAGTGGCGGTAAATTTTACTAGGTAATCAAACATTTTAACAGAGCGAGGTGCTGTATCTTATCTTAGACAAATTAAACGCAGTATTAACTCTTATTGGAATTAAGCAGATAACGAACGACGATCCGTGATCACTGCTTGGTATCTATTGTATTACGCCTGTTATGATAAGAAACAAAAATGGATATTACATGTAAACTGTACACTACTGGCGGGTTAGCAGCGCTGTGCTTCATACCTACATAATATCGAACTGCGTTTTCTCGGCGTGCAATACCTCAAAGTTGAGGGTCAATTTTATCGAAGTTCAAGGTTTTTAACATATAATAATTATTATGTTCGATGTAACAGTCTCATGTTGGAGGTAACGGTCGGGGGGTGTAATCCATCATCGATATTCAACAAAGTAACAAGTCGAGTTAACGACGTTGATATTCGAAAACCCTGCTGCCACTTTTGGTTTGCGTGTTGGCGATCGCTGTAAAGTTGCAATTTTGATATACAAGGAGATTGATCTCTTCAATTCGTGTAATACTATCTTTCACGAGACATGGCCCCTAGTTACCACGTGTTGTCCAGTAGGCTCACATTTCCGATAAGGCACAATAATATATTACGTGCACACGTGATAGAGATAGTACCGTGACCTTTTCGTATATTATACAATAATAAATAAAACCTTATTCTCAAAAGTCATCTGACGACGCGTTTATACTCTATTAATGAATTTATGGACATAAAAGACTAATAACTATTACGAATTTACAACATAAGTAGAAATATTTTTTTCTCTTTCATTAATAGGTCGTTTGTAGAATAGAGTGGAAATCGGA